TTCTTTCGCGTACAAAACCGATATCCATAAAGATATTACGCAGTGTTGATCTTGATAAGTTAGGCAAATTTCTATCAGCAGTGATTACATTCATAATTGATTTTAATGTGGGGGTGTATTTAAAAAAAAAAGTCATGTACTATTCGCCGAATTTTAGATTTTACATACTGATCGTTTTTGAACTGCCTGGCATTTTTATGCTTACTATGTCTCTTTTTACGTGGGGCCATCAAAATGTCTTGGGCACATTTCTTTGGTTCTTTCCTGACAACCTGTTGCAACAGACGTTTCTTTGATAGCAGTTGAAACGTTATTTTTCCAAAATAATAAAAAAAATGTTAATAATTCGGCATTCCTTGCAAAGTTTCTCCACGAGCGACGCCTTTTCTTGGGAGAAATTTCATCAGTTTCACTAGACATCCTTGCAAGTGTAGCGTCATGGGCTTGGCTTCCTGCTCAGAGAAGCACTTGCAAGGTATGGGAATGAGGGTTACCACCGGAACAATGAGCGCCATTCCGGGTACTTCTAGTTGGCGGAGGTAACCGGTACAGCACGTAGGAGCCGATGTCCGAGAATCACGAGTTCCGTTCCTTTTAAGGCAGCCTTATATACTCTCTGGGCAGCGCTGCGAAGCCACGCGTGGGTGGGGATTCCTGCACCGGCCGCCGAGGGAAGCAGGTACCTTCAGCCGCCGCGGGAGTGCCCTGGACGAGCAGGAGCGCGTGCCGCACGCCACTGTGGACGATATCGCCCGAAACGGAGCTCGTGTCGCAGGCGCTCAAGCGAGAAATCACCCTCAATGTGTGTGATTGTGGCACTCGCAAGAGGTAACCGCGGCCGCTGTGGTGCAAGCGACGGGGAGGCACGTTCTTCCCGCCCACGCCCATCCCACGCTTAAATAATGGCTAGTTCTCTTTACAGGAACAGCGGCACCGTTGTATTTTGGAACTGCATCAGTGCGCGAGCGAAGCAAAACTCCAGTTTTCTTGCTCGGCACAATATTTCGGTCATGATGCTGGTCGAGTCCCGCATCTGTCTCTCAATATTCCCAGTTTCATCTGCTACAGAAACGACAGAGCAACACAAGCAGCAAAAGTGACTGACGCCAACGGGGGAGGGGGGGGAGGAGGAGGAGGATAGGAGCACTGCAATATTAATACGACGCACCATAATTCATTATGATACAGTTCTTCCGTACTTGGAGCACGCATAGGCCACCGCTGTTGTCGTTCAGACGGACCGCGGGCCGGTGCGTCTCATTTCTATCTACGCTCGCCCTGACTGCCCCGCGGAAACGTGCGCCCTACTAGCTGCAGATATTGCAAAACTATCTGGGGCAAACACAACACTCGTGGCAGGCGATTTTATTTTCTCTTAGAAGGATGCCCTCATTATTCTCTCGAAGAATACACAATTATGTAAGGAATATAATTTCAAAGTATATACACAAATTCAAATAACAACTTCAATAGGAAAATATCCAGCATGTTAAGAAAATTATTAAGAATTCTTTGGAAAAGGTATCCCATTTCCAGTAAAAAGGATGTGATACCTCATTAGATAGGTAAATATGGAAAAAAATAAGTGGGGAAAAGAAAATATTTGCAACATTATCCATAGTGTTCTACGGCAACAAATTATTGACGTACAGCAAGGTTATTTACTGGAAAAGAAACAAATGGGTTAGAGAAAAATGTTAAAACATGAATTTTGTAATGAAGGGGAAAAACGAAGAAAAAAAAAATGGAATCCAAGAAATTGTATTCAGAAATGATCATTCCATGACTCGATTGCCCTATCTTCCTTTTGACAAACGATTGTGGAGCTTTATCAAATGCGAGTATGGGCAATGTCACTTTTTGAGTTCCCAAAGAATATGGAAAAATACACACGTTATAAAACATAACTGATAGAATATCTCAAACCAGGAGTAATTGAACCTCAAATGTAAACCCAATGGAGGGGAAACTACCAAAATTTTTATAAAATCCGAATGGCGCAATTCTGGCAAACACCAGCAAAAGAAAAGTGGAAGATAGAGCAAATTACTGCAGTATAAAAGCTTTACAACATAAAATAATCTAACAGAGATACAGATATTCATTACAGTAGAGTTTTCCATTGTGATCAAACTTCAAACAGTTCTTATATTTTAATTTCACAGACACAAAGAGTGTCACCACTGCATTGAACCACTTTAATTCTGAATGTGTCTTATTTTTCTAAAGAATCTTATTGCAAAGCCATGATGTTTACTTTCCCTAAGAGTGTCGTCAGCACTAAGTTAGTACTGTCAAGACTTCAACAAGACCTCAGATTCTCCATTGCAAAATACACTGTACATTGCAATAACTAACATGTTCTCCTTAGTTAATTTGTGCCATTTTGAAAATACAATGATATTAAACGGTCCTTTCTTTGTTACATTTTTCACAAAATGATCTACCAAATTTATTGTTATTCTTAATTAACTTTACTTGTTGAAATATTGGTTAATGATGCTAAAATAAATAATTATGCTCAAATTTGACGCATCATAATCGATGTGAATTAATTTTTAACCGGTACAAAAGGAAAGTGTAATACAGATGGTAACTAACAGAATCTTCAGTTAGGAATTGTACACTGTTCCAAAGATGAGTAAATGGCACCATCAATTTGAAGATATATTCTATCTTAGATCGCATCTCAGATTTTTCAGTCAAACAGGTGTGGTTACATGTACACGGATGCACAGAAGACAGCAAATTTTTATGAGAAACTTCTTATTAATCATGTTAATCATTTACAATTCCGAAAAATTAAACTACACAAAAGTTTACCTCAATTTAACCAGTATAAAAGGAATGAACACGTAACACTTATTATCCACACAGCCTTGTTCAAAGTAAAAGTATCTATTATCTAGTAAACACCATGGGGAAGAGAAAATTAAGTAAATTCATGTGCTTGCAAATTTATGCAAGTTGAATAAAACATTTCTCTGTACATAAAGCCCAAAATAACATGCACTACTCACTATTATATTCAAAAGACTTGAGCATGTCTTGAGCAAAAATTTTCAATATGCAACAATTACAAGATTGATTTATTTAACACCTTTACTGGTGTTTATTACTACCTTACCCATCATATTTGTACTATCAATGTTGAATCTAGTATTCAACATGATAATTTTGCTTTAATTAGGTGCAAGGTAGGAAACAACTGAATGCTGATTTCAGCAAGAATGATTAATATTATTTGGATGATTGTTAATATTATCACCAAGTCAATGTATTTATTAAAAAACTGGATATGATACATTACTCTATAATAATTCCTGATACAATGAATTTCATTTCCATGAAGAAAATGAAATGGTACCTCACATGATGTTTACAGACAAAGCCATTTATGTGAAATAAGTTCTGAAACAGTATAAAAGGTTGTGTGGTAAAACAAATCGTGATTACCATAAATTATTTTCACATAATCACGCATGTTAATTGTTAAATGGTGATTAATACAATGCAAACATACTTTCTTAAACTAAGTTACAGTGAAACAATTTGCAATAACTGAAAAAAACTAGATAAACATCTTTTAAAACATTATGAATGCATTGTATTCATAAATCATTGTGTTCTTGATGACTAGAATGCAAAGTCTTGCATGATGCATTCTTTGTACAGTCAAATACTGGCTGCCTGCAAAGGAATGTACAATGAGATTATTTGAAAATATTTACAATATGCTGAATAAACACACAATTAGATAAATATTTTAGAGCAGAAAGGTGCTGTGACCCAACAAATGTGAATGAAAATACAACCTACTCTGGTGACAGTGAACTTCTGGGAACTAAAATATTTGATCCACCACATCCAATGATGTCAAAATTAAATAGAATTACTCCACAATGATAGATTTTATTAAGAGATAGAGCATAATACAGTTACAGCATGAAGTGAAAATTTTAATATCCTTATTTAACCCTAAAAAATCAATTATTTTCAATGATTTGCTGTGTACATTTATATTTAGTAACGTCTCTAGACCCTTCTACAGAGATAGTGCTCTCTTTGAAGTTGATCCTGCATTGTCCACCGTGTTTAGGTATCGTAATGCAGTCTTGTTACCCTTCAATGCCCCTTGCACTGTTGGAACACCTTCATTTGTATCATCTTCATCACACTCATTCTCTTCAGTCCCGGTAGATCTTTTTACTGAATTTACAATGTCCTTGCCAGAAGGGATTTCACACATTGTCACTTTGGAATCAGTATTAATGAAATCTTCAAGTTTGACAAATGTACCGTTTATGAGTTAGAAGCTATTCTCTCAGTGGGACATCCTCTTTCTCAAATTCTTCACATTTAGTGATCAATCCAGCATGCTGGAAACAATTTTGAATTGTTAAGGTTTTCACACACCTCCAAGCCTTCAAAAACTACTACTTACAAAATGTTGATTTTTGTGTTTTCATTAACCCCAAAGCTTGAATAATGTGAAGAGTTACCTCCTTTCTTTAAGTTTTGAAATTGCAAATAACACCTTGTTGACTTGACTGAAGAAGGGATGTGTTGGCAGGAAGAAATGCCAATGTATTGTTACTGAGGTTCTTTACTCAAAGATGAGCTGGGCAGTTGTCTACCAGAAGAAGAATTTTTCCGCCATTAATTTTCATTTCACAATACCACTATCAAAGTTTTTCAAATATGGATGATGTCATTCAAGATATTTTGTTGTACTTAAGAGTTCACAAGGATTCACTTGATGTTCTTGAAATACCTTGAGGTTTTACATTTCCCAATCAGCAGTAGCTTTTTTTTCTGTTCCTGACATTGGCACATAAACACAGTGTTATCTTAATTTTCAACATTTTGCCACCAATACATTTTTCTCCTTTAAATTTCAGAGTGTTATCTGGTGTCATTTCATAAAGAAGTCCCAAGGTCATCGAGCCCAATTAAAAAATGTCATTGAGCTTTGAAACTTTAGGGCCCCTTGAAACTTAACCATTGGAATTGCATGATTCACTACTTTCACTTCTCTGTAAATCTTCTCTTTCATGATTCACTTTGCTGCTTACCTTCCCAAATGCAATGTTGTGCCTCATTTTCCATCTATCCAGCCATTATATCAGCTCTATACACAAACTGTTGGGCTTTTCTAAACAACTTAGCCAGCTGTTCAGCATTATTCGCAAACACAAGCCCGCTGAGAGTGACTCCTGAAGCCTCTGAATAGTTAACCATTGCAATTGTGTTTGGTCAACGTCATCTCAATCACAGGTTTGAATTTTCTTTGTTTGAGGCGCGATCTTATTTAAGGCATTCAAGACTTTGTCCTTGTTTTTTAATAAATTACAGTTGACGCAATGTCATTAGTACGGTCCATTCTGTACACGCTACCTCCACCTCAGGGGAGACATCTACGATGATGACCTTTGGCTGACTACATTTTTTCCAAGCTGCCAAATGTTGGAATTTGTGGCACTGAAGCTATCTATTTTTTTCCAGGAAGGAATTAATTTCCAGGACATATTTTTGACATTTATCATAACCGAATCATCTTGTTCTTATTTGTAATGTAAGTGAAGTGGGACCAGTGACTTAACATCACTACAAATGGAATCTACTGTATATGGCATTTTTCTTTTGGTATTATTTTCTACCAGCACTAAGTCGAATATTGAATCAATTTAAAATAGATACCATCCTCTATTGTGGGAGAAATTAACTTGCCCTAAATGATACACAATTTTCCTAATCTACTTATCACAATTTTGGCTCACTGGTCCTTTCTACTTAAAATATTTAATTATAATGAACATACCCTGTCTTCATTTACTTTTCCATCAGATTCTTCATCAGTGTAATCTTCATCGTGATTGTGGGTGACACACCTGGGTGTTTCTGGGCGAGCATGAGGTATCTGACTTGGTGACCTTTCTAAGACCTGAGTAATAAATGCAATAATATGACATTAACAATGTCATTTGATGATAATTGAAATACAGATAAGTCATTTCAGATAAATGACCATTATAGGAAATTGGATTCAAAATGGGGAAAGCATAAGCTAGGAGGTGCTCATTTGGTTTTGCAACGCATGAAAGTTTGGTCATTTAGTACCTGACGTCACTGTTGAGAAACTTCAAAGGGTCGGCAATAAAATATTCCTAGGCATGTTTGTTGTCTGAGCATTTTTCAATGCTTTTTGTGAAGTGGATCATATAACACATGAAAGTAATTTAGAGTACACAACATTTAATAAATGTTTTATTAGAATGCCTGTGAAAAACTGTGGTATTTTGAAGTGTGTGTAATGTTTAGTATTAACAAGATAAGATGCACTTAAAGCACTTATTAAAATAATGAGTATGAAAGAGATTTAGAATCTGAACTTTCATGTGTCTAGTATTTATCAGAGGAACCACGGAAAACTACCATAAGAGCAGCGAGCTCAGCCATCAGAATTCTCTATCACACAATGGCTAAATTCAACCTAGCTGTATAGGTAGCGTAGAAAATTTGCCAGTCAGGATTAGAACTCCCAGAGTTGTTGCAGACACAAATGGATTGCTTCCTCTGAGCCAACTCAGCTGGTTTTGGTTTTTGTTGTGATGAAATTGGGAATTATCAATATTAGAAAATGAAGCTAGTATTTTTACATTGTAACAGTTTACTTATTTTGTACTTAATTGTTAATCTATTGTTACACCTGTTTTTTTAAAAGAGTTTTAATGAATATTTTGATACATAAAAAGCATTAATACTTTATTTTAATTAATTTAAAAAAAAATCTTTAAAACATTTCAAGGTTTCTTCAAACAAAAACCAAAACCTGTGTGCATGGGAGGGGGGGAGGCTGAGGAAAATTGAGCCAAACCGTTATACATACTACCATCACAATTAAAATGCTGAAAAGGGGAAATATGACATTTAGTAATGAACTTGCACAAATATACCTTCGGATTTTCAGCAACACATTCCTCATCATCAATGCTAGTGAATGTTCTGGATCGAGATATCATTGGGCTATCCATAACAAATCTTTGTTCATGAGCAACAGTCGATTCATGAGGCATCTACAAAACAATGATGCACAATATTAAAAGGAGAACTTTGGGATAATATGAAAATGTTTTATTCTTGAATAATGAGATAAACAGCACTAAGTTTAAGTCAGTAATTTACAATAATCATACAAACTGATTATATATGTAGGACACTCTTCCCTTGTTTGTTTGAAGATTTAATTATCTGTTTCTAATTGTATTTACAAATTGGAGACATTATTTACAAAAATGGAGACTTTGTAAGACAAAAAACAAACACCACTGAGGAAGCGCATAAAAATGAAAGTCTCAACTGAAGAAGGAAAATAGTACTAATTTGAAGGAGAATTAAAAATGTACATACAAATTTCATGTACTTACCAACATAGATGGTGCACGAAACATGTAACAAAAGGGATAGTAAATGAGATTAAGAAATGTTGCAGCATACAAATCCGCATAACGAACAACCTGGGAGGAGAAGAATGTCTGACGAGAGCCACTTCGAAACAGACTGCCCATCAAACCATAAGACATATCCATTTTGTGAGTTACATCCCTTATATCATCTCTCAAAGTTGAAATATCTGGCTTCTCTTTGGTGCTGCTATCCAAATTCCTAAAATAAAAAATAAAATAATAATAATAAAAAAACAAAAAACACACAGAATATGAAGGACAGAAATGTAATTATTAGGAGATTAGGATGAAAGGTTCTAACAACAGAATTGTGGTGAATTTGAACATGTTCAAAATTATGCTAATCAACCCATTTCCTTAAAAAATTCTACATGACCTTTTTTTAAGAATGTTTTTTTGTTTTAAATCAGAATTCATTTAAGAAAAATATCTATCATCAATTTTGTAATTTTGCAATGTTAAACTAAAACAGTATTCCTCCATGGGTCGTGGCTACAAATGTAACCAGCCCAAAATTTCACCTGAGGACTCTGTGTTCTATTAATCATTTTATTGAATATTTAATATGAAAATTTAATTTTGTCCTGTCATTTTTGATAGGTTATGCCTAGTGTCTTATGTTAATACATCTCAAGATAGTTTTATACTACTTCCTTTTGCTCATTTAACCTATTACTTTTAAGACAGATATGTGCACTCAGTAGTAAAACATGCTGCTAAACTTTCAAATACTTTTTTACATTCATTTAATTTTAGATTTGTGATAATCGATAATTTACCACAGATACCTAAGACTTGCACAAGATATTTTTGCAAATAGAAAAACAAGATATTGAATTAAAATATAAAACAAGTTATTTAACCAACACAACAATATCTTTAGTTACTGAAATAATGTTGGAAATATTTTAATCCTTTTGTCATGTTCTGATCCTTTATTCTTTGTTTCATGCTGAAAATTAGTGGTGCTACAACATTGTACAGGCTTTCTTGTGCAATTTGTAAAATTTAAAATAAAAAGATAATAAATATATCGTGAATTATATACCTCTAATATTTCAGCTGTTGTGAAGAAATCTGTTCAAATAATTCCTTGAAAATTGGCTTGACATATTTTCTAAAACCCACTTTGTAAGCAAAATTGACATTTCTCTTGCATAAATGGACAATAATGTGCTTTGCAACCCAATCTATTTATTTCAAGGACATTCAATCCATTTAAAACTTTCATCCTTTCACTCATTAAAGAATACATTTCTTGACGTTAACTACCTCTACAGAACCAACAATACCAAAACGGTGAATTTCCATCAAAATTAGGCAAATCCTTTTCAGCCTAACTTAGCTTTCTCCATATTAGCATATATGCACCATATAAGCATATATTAGAAAGTGAAAAACGACAATTCTTGTAATACGCATATATTATTTTTAATGAGAAATGAACTTATATATTAAAATGTACTTACTTATATAAATCTCCAAGTTTAACATCTAAAGCCTGCAATTCTGAAAATAGTGAGCATTTATCCGTCCACACATGAAGTTCCTGAATCAATTCAGGTATGATTAAGAATGTCCTCCATCCACGTATTTTCTTAGACTTCAAAATGTCTCCATATATATGATCACCAATATAAAGAACATCCTTTCCTTTAGCACCAATGAGTTCTGTGAAGACATCGCATGACCCTAGTACAGACCAAAGCAGTGAATTAAATATTACATGGTGCCTCAATTTTTAAAGATGTCAATGCTCTTTAAAAGGGAAAGAAATACAGTGAAACATGTCTTAAGCAGTTACCAATGGTAGTAGCAAAAATTGGCAGATAATAGAAGTGGCTCCTTGAATAACACTAGAAAATTACTGGAAACAAATCTAATTGAATTGGGCTAATTGCTATGAAATAAAGTAGCATTTCTCTTTAACATTTTTAATTGGCAAAAATGACAAAATACAAATTAAAAAAGGTATTTAGGATAATTTTCCTAATCTTGGCTAATACTAAAATACACCCTTGACTTGTTACTCATTCTCTTACTCTGAATTCACTTTCCACTCCCACCAAATCGAACACACAAATTAGACTTTAATTCAATTCACATCCTCTAAAAACTTTACAGCAGGGCTGCCAGGTGGAGTAAGCAGAGGACTTTTAGATCCGATTCATGTAAGTGGTGTACTCCAAGATTCCTTAATATTTTCCCCAGAAAGGAAGCACAAATTAGCAAATTATAGGAATGTGAAATGGGCAAAATGAACATGGTGTTTCATTAAAATATATTAATTAAATCAGCTGGTGTTACATGAAATAAGATATTAATCCCCCTGCAAGTGGACATCACTATTTTAAGTAATCTGACAATGGAACCCAATACAGGATGATATTAAAGCATATGTTATCTCTGGCATTTTGCTGCTTCTTATTATAATACAATTCAAAATAGATTGAGGTGACCTACACTTCTGGCGGCTGGCTACTTAGGTAGGTGGCAGCTGAAGAGAGGTCATATTTACATGGTCTTATGGAAAAATCAATTCCATAAAAAAAATGGCTCTCAGTGGAGGTGACCGCTCAATTGAGATTGTCGTTTCAACAGGTTTCACTGTTTTTATTACAAATCACTATTACAAGAACTCTGACAAACACAAGAAGTGGATATTTGAATTCTTCCAGCTTCACAACGCAGAAATAACAAGTAATTCCCAAGCTCACAAATTTAAATTTCTCAGATACCTCCAGCATATTCCTGCCCCCTCCATCCTATATGAAAATTATGAACTTCATTTCTGCAAATTGTTGTGTTTCGGTAATTATAAAATATACTACTCGGAAATCATTACAAACTGCCAAAACTAAACTTTACATTGAGTTGGGGAATATGCAAAATTCGCATTTTTTCTAAGAGTAGAAATGCCATGGCCTCTCTTCATCCAACAATGAATACATTGTTACTTTGTCAATGGCTTCCATTAGTGAATGGCAAGGACTTGTGGAGGTGGGGTTGTAGCATTTAAAATTCACTATGTTTCAGTGTAAATACGCTTGCAATTTCCAATGTTGCACAATTTGGTCAGATATCTATATGGCTTTGTAATATTGTTTATTATGTATTTAATTCAGCATATTAAAGCATGTTACAATGCTTATTGTTTGTATGTATCTAAATATACTATACTCATAGTTTTGAAAGAAAAATAATTTCCACTTATTTATACCATTTTGCCTATGGTCCCATAAAAAGTGTAATAGAGGAGCTTTACTGTATTATTATATTGATAATCATATCCTACCATTCAGCCATTTTGTGAATCACGTGTTGGTTAAAGAAGTGAAGGAGACTTCATTTTGTCATTTTCAAAGATTTTAATTTTCTTAAGTTCAGAACTTATAATGAAAATTAGACAAGTATTTTTCCAGTGCACTTTGCTTCATAGAAAGGAAAAAATTAGAGAAAAGAATTTCCCCTACAAATCCAGGGAATCAATCCCTCACCTTCTGCTTAGTCATACGGAAGAGCGGGCTTGATGGCTAGTCTCGCCACATAAAATAAGGCAAATAAAATTCAATTCAATTCAATTCAATAGTCACAGCCATAAACACTTGGCCACCAAATGTGTTACTAAAAATAGGGACATGTGCCATTTTCATAAACATACTTTGCTCCACTTAATTGAAAGTAAACACTTTTTTGGTAGAATGAACCTCCAAAACCTTGATTCTGACTGTACTGTGAATATGAAAAAATGATTCTGACCGACTATGCATAGGATCAAGAAAAGACCACTTTTACGGTATCAGTAAACCACAAAATGTGGCATGCACTCAGAAAATTGGTGTTTTTTCGCTGCAGCATTACTGCGTAACTATAACAGTAAAGTGAAAATGAACGTAAAAACTTCACATACCTCCAGAATATACATGACCACTTTGTAGAGGTCCCATATGAGTTCCAACTCTCAGAGCACCTGTGGATGTATCAACTTGCCGTAAAATAGTACCTTCACCAAAAAATAATGGCTTTCTAGCATCAACAACAATTATATCAAAATAGGTTTTCCAGTCACGATGAGGTTCATCAGGCTGAAAAATTAGAAAGCACATTTGTATTTATTGTACACATCAATTGCAAATTATGATAGGGACATTTCATGGTATGTGGCAAACAGATATTCCTATAATGACTTTGTTTTCTTAAATAACGTGTTTTTTATTTCACAAGTAGTCACACACATACCAAAAAATCTCTCTAAGCTAGAATCAATCAAATTACATCAAATCAACCAGAATTACTAGAAGCTGGCAAAGCACATAGTTTCTTGCAATGTTTCTAAACACTCCGCAACATTATATTGATGTCAATATTATATTGAACAATTGATTTGATGTGACATACATTTTACAAATTGAATAAGAGTTGTAAACTTGTTTAGAATTTCAAAATACAAAAATGACACAAATACACTTTCACTTTATTTAGAATCTAAATATATTGCATATGAGAGTAGAATTCCTTCCAATGATTAGCAATTAAGTTTCAGAAATTCTCAATAGTTTTCTGCGGCAACAAGTTGTGAAAAAATAATTATCCTCGACATTTAACCACTTTGGCCACCCAGATTATGCAGAGATTGGCACTTTTAGTATAGTAATAAGCGTCGAAAGACAACAATTGATTTAGTGGATCCTAAGTTTTAAAAAAACAAACAATTTGTTTAAAAATTGAAAATCACTTACAGACACTTCCAGTTTATTTATCTTCATTAATCGTATTTGCGATTCGAATTGCTTCAAATTGTTTTCAATAAATTTTCTGATAAAATCAATTACATTCCGTGGCAACAGGTTTGTCACAAAAAATAGTTCCCGACCAAGACTCAAACTAACGAACCTGCCCTCGAAAGAACTCAGAGCTTCTTACCCACCTTGGCTAATCAGTTACGATGTGCAATGAATACTTTTTTAAGTGTTTGGTGGTTTCAGCTCTAGAATTACGGAGAGAGAGAGAGGGGAGGGAGAGAGAGAGAGGGGAGGGAGAGAGAGGGGGGA